TCGATAATTTGTAATAAATCTGATTAGATTTTTATATAACATTAATGTTGTGTTGACTTCCATTTCATTCTGGATTTCTTATTTAAATATCATAATTGTGTTTGCACCTTTGTGAACCTGGCACCCGACTTTCGAAAAACTAACTTTTTTATATGGAAACAGTTAGTATTTTGTTTGTAGTTATTTGTAGTAATAATAATTTCGTTTGTAATTCAATCCATTAAAAGATATCAAAATTTAAAGAAATGATTTGCACTCGACATTAAGATATTTTAAATCCGCTTGCGCAGTCTTTTTCCGAATTGTTTGTAGTTGTTTGTAGTGTTTTTCGTTTCGTTTGTAGTCGAACCGTTCAAAAATTATAACAATTTAAAGAAATGGCCAAGAAAACTTTGTCATTTTTTACGATAGCGCAAATCCGTTTGCGCAGTCTTTTTTAGAATCGTTTATAGTTTGTAGTATCTTTTGGATTTGCGCTTCTTCCTTATACATACTTGTTTTAATATCTCTAGTAATCTTATTTAAATTGTTTATACGTTTTTCTCTTCTGAATTCATTTTATGTTGCATCCAATTTGTTTTTTTTCTCAGTCCACCATACTATCCTCTCGTTAATTACTCTTTCCATAATCTTGCCTACACATAATAATAGTGCTATCGGTCTAACCTTTAATTTGCCTATTTTGTCTATAAATAATACTTGGTATTGTCTTAATTCTTTTGGGAACCATTCTGTATTTCCATACTAGTCTTATTATGTCCAGTATATCTTTTATTTCTTTGCATAGACGTTTTATCATCACGTATTCTACTCCTACGTATCCTTCCCTGGAGCCGCGTTTCTCCTGATCATGGCTTTTTTATGGCTTTATTTTCTTTTTAGAGTGATCTAAACCTTCATGGTCTTATCGTTGCTTGGTATTCCGAAACTTGTCCTTGCGTTGCATATGCTGGTGTTAACTGGTCTATTTTCTTCTTAATTTTTTCTTCTTTATTTATTTATATTGGTTTCAATTATTCCATGTTATATTTTTATTTGCGTTTTTAAAGATCCTCATTTCCAAACGTATACTTGTAAATCTGTTTATATTACTACAGAATTCCCAGAAGGATTCCTTTTTTTCTTTTCTATTATTTTTTAGTTTCTCCTTTTCGTTTTGTTCTTCATTCTCTAAATTTTTCCATGGCCTTCTCTTATAAATTTCTTTAGTGCTTTTTTCCTCTTTGCTCTCTGCGTCTCACCATTTCTTTGGATTGTGGTTTCTTTTCAATGGTTGTTCTTCCTTTTCTTTCCTCTCTTGTTAAGTGTTGTTTTGGATTTTTAATTCCCGATCTTGTATACTGTATCGAATATTATATTTTTACATATCTATGTCAAATCTTTTTCCTCCAAATCATCATACCTTCATGTTCCATCCTTTTTATATTTATCAATTATTTCTATCATCATTTCAATGTATTCCTTCTATCTTGTTTTCTTCGATATTTAGTTGATATTTAATATTCTTTTATTTTATTTTTTCGGTATTGCCTGTTCTTCTTTCTCTCTTCTTTTACCTTTTTCTCTTCATTTCTATATTTGCATTTTCTTCTATTGTAAAACTTATTTCCTTATTTGCATTATCTTTCTATATTTCTCTTGCTTTATTGCTTTCCTTGTCTTTTCCTGTCACTGTTTGTCTTATTACTTGATTTTTCGTTGTATTTCTTACAAGCGATTCTTGCGGGCTTTTGTTCCCTCTAGATTCTTTGTCTATGCATTATCCTTGCTCTTGATATTAATTTTGATCATCGTTCTGGAGCTGTAAATTTGTATGCTGTATCGTATACTGACTCGAGATTCTTTTCTTTGCCTTCTAATATATAATATATAAAAATATATAATATTTTTTCAACCTCTCAATATGATATATTATGATGGTCCATGATAACATTAATATTTTTTATTTCTCTCAAATATTGGACAGGCTCTTGACTTGTTATGTTTACCGTTGCAGTTCCTACACTTAACCTCTTTTTCGCAATGACTGCTATGTTTATTTTCTCCATATTACACATTTTTCCTGGCTTCTGCGTATACAGTTACTCATTAATATTTGGACACCGTGATACTTTAAAAGTTCTAGCTTTCTAAACATTGTTATTTTTGTTAGGATAAGGTATTCACAGTTTTTAAAAAAATTGAAACACTCATTATAGTTGCCAGAAACATAAATTTTATTTATGTAATTGATACAGTTTTGAATACTTTAAGCAAAAACAGAATTATGTTTAATTATAGTATTACAACAATATTCGGACGCTTAACGAAGCATAATAATATAAATGTAATAATTTAACAAAATAATAATTCTAATATTTCGTTGCGTAACTTTTTTGTTTAATGACATGTTGCAAACATTTGGGCATGTTAGAAATAATTTTCGTTAAATAATCTGGCGTAATACGCTTTCACTCTTCTAATCGTAATTTTAATTCTTCCTTCGATCTTATGGATGTAGTCCGCATCGGTTACGATCCAATAAATCTCATAAATTTTCTATAGGATTTAAATCTGGTGACTGTGATGGAGGATGTAATACTTTTGGACAATTATATATAATAAATATTCTTGTACTATTCGTGATTTATGTTTTGGATCATTATCTTCATAAAATTTGAAAGTATTTCATATATTTGTATTGCTAGTATTTTTTATTAAATTAATTTTCTTTTAGAATATTTAAATATTTATTTTTATCTACAACTCCGTCAATGAAAACTAATTCGCCCACTCTTGTAGTTGAAATACAAGCTATTAAACTCTTACTACTATTAAACTTTCACCACCGTGTTTCATGCTTGGTCTCAAATTTTTTATTTTCAGTTCTTCGTTTGCCTTACGCTATATCATTTTCCGTCCATCAGATCCAAAAATATTAAATTTGTTCTCATCAGCAAATATCATTCCACCATGCTTGCTTTTTAGAAATAAATTCCTTCCGATTCATTTCATTTATGAATGACTTTTTACGAGCAATTCTAACCACTTTCTTTCAACGAACGATGAACTATATTAGGATGTATCTTCAATCTTCATATAATTTTGTAGTCATACAGTTTTGATGCACTTAATTCAAGATTTTGCTTAATTTTTCTAATAATTTTACGTTTATCTCGTGCATTAAGTAATTTTGGACGTCCTTTCTGAGATATTGATTCAATGCTCCCTTCACGAATATACTTTTTTACGATGTCTCCTACTGTACTTTTATTTAAATTTAATAATTTACTAATTTCTCGATATCATTTGCCTTTTTCATAATGATAAATAACAAGCTCGCGTTTATCAAATGAAGTATTTCTGCCTTTGCGTTCCATTTTCACTATTGATTGTTTGATCTATACAAACATTCAAGCGAAATTAACTAACCGCGAGGTAAATCATGTGTCTCGTATTTACAAATAAGCAAGGAATAAGCTGACTGATTTTACAAGGTCCTGAAACCATAAGACATTAAGTGTTCGAAACCATAAGACATAAGTGTTCGAATATTTTTGTACCATAATTCTATAAGCATAATTCTTTTGTTTAAAGTATTCAAAACTGTATCAATTATATAAATAAAATTTATATTTCTGGCAACTATAATGAGTGTTTAATTTTTTAAAAAGCTGTGAATTCTTTATTCTAACAAAAACAATGTTTAGAAAGTAATAATTTATAAAGTATCACAGTGTCCGAATATTAATGAGAGTAACTGTACTTTTTAGATGACCAAACCAATAATATTTATAGCACTGTTTTATTGGAGAGACATATGATCTTATCTTGATTAAGTTGTCGAATATCGAAATTTTTAATTGTATCTTTCATCGTTACAGAATATTTTCTCTGCTTTCCTTTACTATATAATTTGTATTAATTATTGTCCCATTTTTTTCTATATATCTTTTCTAGTCTACGTATCTCCGATTGGTCAACTATAGTTTCCCATAATTCCACGATAGAGTCTTCCAGTCTATGATTATACCCTTCATCAGTGTTTATGTTCAGTTCGTTTTCCTCGTTGTTTTGATCTAGTACCTCTAAACATTGATTAGCCTCATTACTATTTGTAAATCTTATTTCTACAGTTTTAAAACTAATTTGTGTAATATTACTCGGTTTAATTTTTTGTTTGTTTAATAAGATAGATCAAATTCTTTTTTTCCTTTTAACTTTATCCAGTTTGATAGTAAGTATTATTTTATATAGTAATTTTAGTAGTTATTTTATATAGTAATTTTATATAGTAAGTATTATTCTCTTCTATATTTTTTGTTAAATCTCTTTTCTTTATGTAATTCTGTAGTATCTACTTTGCTTATCTTTCTTAAGATATCTCTTGCATTGATGTATGTTTCTTTAAAAATAGCTTTTTCTTCCTCTATCATGTTTTCGTCAGTCTTTCCTTGCACGCGTTATTTTCTTAAACTTGAACCAACAGGTTTGTCCGTTCTTCCACTTCCATCTCGCAATTCGATTGGCCTTCCTGTATAGCACTCCCCTCTTTTCCTATTGCCAAGATGTCTATCGAATTTGAATCTTTGTTTTTGTTACCTTCTTTCTCTTGTTCATTCCCCATCGTTTCCCATCCCTCGGTTGAGTTTTCTATATTTAATACCTATGCCATCCTTTCAAATTCATCCTCGTATCTCTTATTATTTTTCCTAATTCTTCCATCGTTCTTGTGTCTTTTATTCTTTTTCTCTATATAACTCTTGACCCTATAATCTTGACCCTAATCTGCAATAATCCCTCTCCCCAATAAGCGAGAAGGGGCTTTTTTCCTTTTTATTTTAATTTTCTCCAATTTCTTATAAATTATACTATCTTAGCATTCTAGTTTTTTTCCAAATATTCTTCTAGACTACCGCCTCTATCACAATATCCTATGCTAATCCGTGTCCTCTCCCCACGTCTCAATTATCACTATCATCACACAATTAAAACCTTTATTTTTTTTTGTGCTTTTATAGGTTGCACAAGTGCAGGCGCTCATTTCAATCCGTTAGGAAAAGATCACGGTGGTCCAGATCATGATGTGCGCCATATTGGAGATTTAGGAAACGTGGAAGCCGGTGCTGATGGTATCGCAAAAGTTAACATCACCGATTCCTTAATTCAGCTAAGCGGACCATATAATGTTATTGGACGAACTCTCGTGGTACATATTAAACTTAAGGCTCCTGATTACTCGACTAAGAACTTCGCGTTGATAATAGCGATAGTATCGCGGTAAAAATTAGAAACTTATTCATTTTTGTTTATCTTATTCTTGTCGTTGTTTCTTTATATTAAATGATGTGCTAACAAATTTGTTATTGCATTTAATTTTTGTTATTATGTGCTTAATCATGTAAATGTGACTTGTCTCGTACTTACCAAATTTGTAAAAATGGGCAGCAGTTAAAATTATTTCTGAATTTTATATATATGTAAAGTATATCTTTCACTTCTTTCAATAGCTGTCAAATTATGTATTTTTCTGTCTGAATAAGCTACATTTCACGTACCTTTTACGGCTATCAGAAGAAGAAAAGATAGTAGCCGTCCATTTTTATCATTTCAAGTATCATAAAGCTATTTTAAGTGTCATTTTAGTCAAATATCTATTTATTTGCAAATTATATATAATAAATTTCACTGTATCATTTCTTGCTTATGACTTTACAATTCCATTATGGCTGTGGCAACTAGTCAGGAACCTTATTATTAATTTTGTTTTTACTTATATTTTATTAAATTACAACTTATTTCAACTTATTTATATTCCTTAATGCTATTGCTAATATAATTTATGAAAATATTTATATATTTCATTATATGCATTATAAGAAATGTACATATTTAATATAAAATATACCTATTAAGTAAATTTAATTTGCTTTTTATATAAATTAATTTTTAATTTAATTTAAATTTGTTTAATAACTAGGGGGATAAAGTCATGGCAAATTAATTCATATTTGTAAAGCAAATGAAAGTTTAATAGAGGAGTTCTGTTTTGACTTCTAGCTGAGATTACATTTTTCATAATAAGTTATTCCATAAGAAATTTTTAATTGATATCATTAATTATCGATTTATTAGAGAGGATGTGTAATTTTAATTTTAGTCTGCTACTTATAATGGTCTGCAAATCCATTAAAAATAACAGTATTTAGTTAACGATTGAGGGCAAATACTAAAAATTTATATTTATAAATTTAAGGAATAATTATTAAGCATTAAAATCCAGTCTTGATTGAAAATATCTATATTATATGTTTCTTTCTTTCTTTCTTTCTTGTAAAAATTCTTTAACATTTTGTCATTACAAAAGTAGTTATATAATTTATTACTTATTTTTGCTTTCTCTTTCTATCTTTTATAAAATTTCTTTATTTTCCTCAATTTTTAGATTCACGCTGATCCTGATGATTTGGGCCAAGGTGGCCACGAGCTATCAAAAACAACTGGCAATGCTGGTGCTCGTCTCGCCTGTGGTGTCATTGGTATCACAAAATAAATGTATTCATGATCAATTGATGGATAGAGAGGATATGTTAGAGATATATTATTTTTCTTATCATTTCGTTTTTAGCATATAGCATATCATGCAAATCTTTTTTGTTTTTAGAATATTACGTACAACTGAAGTTATCATATCTTTCTAACGCGATAATGCTAAAATGTTAAAATTTGAATTTATCTATGTTACTTATAAAATGTGAAATAAGATTGGAAAATATATATAGATATATCTTTTCCTATTATTATTACATATAATTGTATATATATTGTACGTGTGTACGCGTGTGCGCGCGTACACACACATAGAATATATATACAATTTTAGATATCCTAAGCATCTGCATTAATATTTATAAATATGTAACATACTTATAAATATATGCTTTTAAAAAGTTAATATAGTTCAATAGAAACCAATATCTCCCATTTAGTCAGTATACTATAAAAGTATTATTAAGTATAAGTATTAAGTACTATATTTAAATTATGGTAAGTATTCGGAAATACGCCTATATTCCACTTTCCAAATTGATCTCAATTATGAATCTTATCTGGCTTTATCGTGACACCAATGATAATACTTGAACAGATTGGTGACGTAATTATAGGCACAATATAATTTTGGTGATCGTGGCAATCGTAAGTCGTCACAAGATTCGGAAATATGTCGCCGATAAGTCAAGAAAACGAACCGAGAATTAGTGTTTTTGATAATTTCTATGAATATAGTTCGTCTGAATTCGATGAAACTGACGAAGAGGGGTACGTATTTAAAAAATTAGATCCTACAGTAAAAAGTTACTTAAAATAATTGCTTAAAAATAAGTGAAAAATGAAACGGATTATAATAAATATAGTTTACTAAAAAAATGCAGAAATAATAATTCTCAGCGAGAAAATTAAAATATTTGGCAGGTTTATATAATTGAATTGGTTTGGTAATTTCAATGTCTTTTGTTTATATTACAAATCGTTTTGTGAATTTTCTTTTTCGTTAACATTTTAAAATCATTGATATTTATTTTTTCGTTTTATTATTTAAAGTTATGCTACTTTGATTATATCTTTATTGATTGATTATATCTTTATAGATTATATCTTTTTTGTTGAATTTATTTTAAATTTATTTTAAATTTATTTTTTGTGAAATTAATTTTAAAATTGATTTATTGAAAGTAAAGGAATAGATTAATTAAAATTAAAATAGATGAGCATAGAAGAGACGCGAACGTATTATGTTTTTGTAAAATTGAAATTGAGTAATTCCTCTGCAAGAAAAATAAATGTATTCGTACGAGAAAAGGAGAAAGGAATAAAGTTGCAGTAAAATAAAAGATAATAAAAGTGTAGGGAGATATAAATTAAGAAAGATATAAAAGATGAAATAATAATAAATAAACAGTGTTAATTACTGTTAGAAGAGCTCTAATCATGCAGTTTTCAGTTCGCAGAAAGATGTTCCACCATGGGATGTATTTGAATGCTTTTCTCCACCAGAAAATGAATCTATGGAAAATAAATGTTTTGAGATTATCATTTGGATTTTAAAATTACTCATTTATGGATTGCTATTTACTATTGTATTATGCAGTGGTATCGGAGCTAAATTAGCTGTTTTATTTGCCATTGCACAATTACAAAAAAATCAATCATTGTCTGATTGCAATTGTAATTTAGGTAAGATTATTCTATTTAAAATATGTGCGATTCACACAAAAATTACAAAAATTTTCAGTCTATAAATTTCTAAATTCAAAAATACAAAATTGAATGAAATTCAGCAATTTAAAATATCAAATTATGCTTTTAAAATTTTAAAATTAAATATTGCAAAGAAAATTCGTGTATGAAAATATTAAATTTAAAAATTTCAAGAGACTGTGTAAATCTTTTGTGTTGAAACATAATTTAAATATAATTTAAATCATAATTTATCTAGAAAATTAGAATGAATGCTTAATTATGAGAAACAAGAGATGAGTTATTATATCTTGAAAATAAAATATAAAATATACTATGCTGAATTAAGTTAAAATTAGCAGAGAAAAAAAATTTACAGCTTTTAATATACTAAAGAGGAAAAAACTCTACTTTAGGGAAAAGAATTACATTATTTTAAGAAATTATCGTTAATTTATCATTTTATCATTTTTTTTTTACTATATATTCTATCAGTAATTCTATCACAGTTCTATTACTATTAATATTAATTAATAATTGTATAATATTAATATTAATTAATAATTTTGATAAAAACTTTCTTATCGAATATACTTTTATTTCAACTTCTGGATTTCTTAAAACAAAAAGCGGGTGAATTTTTTTAGAAATGCGTGGGTACTCGCAGGATAGTCGCATACAATGGACATGGTGTTTAATTTTCATATTTCTCGTACCGGAATGCCTCGGAATGTTAAATACCTTATGGCATTATTTATTTAAGAAAAAACTAAAAATGCCAAAGAAGCAAAACATTTTCTTCATGATCTTGATGGACACGCTCCATACAATTGGTTTAGTATTGCTAACTTTTGTCATTCTGCCAGAAATCGGTTCAGCGCAAGGTGCCGCTATTTTCTGTTGCTTATGTTTCATCCCAGGATTGTTGAGTAAGTATGCGCGCATGCGCGCGTGTGTTGTGTGCAATTTATTACGTAATCAACAAGATTGATGAGTCGTATTAGAATAAATTTCAATGATGATTATCTTTTTTCTTCATTTGAAAGCAATTTACTTAGGTTTCTTTATACCGTATTACCAACTCTTACAATTAATCAAAACTCAATCCAAAATGGTTGAAAATTTTTATTCTTACACGATTTTGTAATAATTTATTTGTTAAATATAATTGATATAATTGATATTTATTAGAACTACTTTCACGAAATAAGGAAAATTGGAATGTATCGACAAGAAAATTAAGATTATTTAAAATTTTTGACGTATTGGCATTGATCGCTCAAGTCAGCGGGATATTATGGCCCTTGATCATTAGTATCAAATGTAATGTCGATGGGACCTTGATGTGGGTTTCTCCCATTGCTCTTATATTGTGTTCAAGTCGTTGGTGGAGTAACTTTGTATCGTCGCACAGCAACGTTGGTATGTATCACGT